GACAGATAGAGAGAGACAGGTGGACAGAGACAGACAGGTGGACAGAGAGAGACAGACAGGTGGACAGATAGAGAGAGACAGGTGGACAGAGACAGACAGGTGGACAGAGAGAGTGACAGACAGGTGGACAGAGAGAGACAGACAGGTGGACAGAGAGAGAGAGACAGGTGGACAGAGAGAGACAGACAGGTGGACAGAGACAGACAGGTGGACAGAGAGAGAGAGACAGGTGGACAGAGAGAGAGAGACAGGTGGACAGATAGAGAGAGACAGGTGGACAGAGAGAGAGACAGACAGGTGGACAGAGAGAGACAGACAGGTGGACAGAGAGAGAGAGACAGGTGGACAGAGAGAGAGAGACAGGTGGACAGAGAGAGAGACAGGTGAACAGAGAGAGACAGGTGGACAGAGATAGACAGGTGGACAGAGAGAGAGACAGGTGAACAGAGAGAGAGAGAGACAGACAGGTGGACAGAGACAGACAGGTGGACAGAGAGAGAGAGACAGGTGGACAGAGAGAGAGAGACAGGTGGACAGAGAGAGACAGACAGGTGAACAGAGAGAGAGAGAGAGAGACAGGTGGACAGAGAGAGACAGACAGGTGGACAGAGAGAGAGAGACAGGTGGACAGAGAGAGACAGACAGGTGGACAGAGACAGACAGGTGGACAGAGAGAGAGAGACAGGTGGACAGAGAGAGAGAGACAGGTGGACAGAGAGAGACAGACAGGTGAACAGAGAGAGAGAGAGAGAGAGACAGGTGGACAGAGAGAGACAGACAGGTGGACAGAGACAGACAGGTGGATGGCGGGTGTCTTTGCGTCATCCCTCTAACTCAGTGCTTCTCAATTATTTTCCGTTACGCCCCCCCTAGCAAGAAGAAAACTATTCGCGCCCCCCACTCCCCACCGTGACTATCCATCTCTGCATAACATTTTTTCCTTATTAACATTTTTTTTCGCTGAAAAAACTCTAGCGGCTTATTGGCGTGATTGGGATGTAACGTATTTAAGTGACGCGCTAATTTATTTGGCTTCATGCTGTCCGCTGCGAGCATTTTTAGACACAGCAAACACACCGGTCTTTCCTCTTCTCCAACTGTAGTCACAGTGAAGCCAAGCGCTAAATACGCTTCGTCGTATTTCCTCTTCTTAGCTTTCGGTTGACTTTCTGTTGTCTCATTATCTTTGTCTCTCTCCGCTTTTCTTTTCATCCCTGTGAAAAACTTTTTCATGTTGGGGGTTGTTGAATAATGGAGGCCATAGACAGAACGCAGTCGGAGCTTTTTGTTGACTTAACACTGCTAACCAAGGCAAACCTGTTGTCTTGTAAGTCATAAAATGTTGCACTGTCGCAAACGTGACAGAAGTAACAATGAGAGCGCCACTGCCGCCTACTGTGCGCAATTACACTTTATACTGGTTCGGCCAAAAAAAAGCCTGTTCCCCAGGATCACACGCCCCCCCAGGTATCGCACCGCGCCCCCCAAGGGGGCCCGCCCCACTATTTGAGAAGCACTGCTCTAGTTAAATAAAGATTTTAATGATGAACTCAGGTGTTGTTGGTGTTTTGACCTTTGGGTTGTAGAAAGCTGCGATGACGTGGCGCAGGCGGTTGGTGTAAACCTGGACACAGCTGAACAGCGCCACCACCAGGATGACGCCCACACATCTCACATACACTTCAAACGGGAGGCGAGTCGGGGCGAACAGGCATGCTGAGGATGAGGAAGTGAGTTCAGATGAAAATGGTTCCTGCTCTTCAGAGGGAGGAAGCTGTCGCCCCCTGCTGGGTGAATGTGTGTCCAACACCCAGCAGGCTGCAGATCCTGGTTCATTACCAGCAGAAAAACCAGTTTAAACAGGACCAGACCAGACCAGACCACAGGGCCAAGTCAAATCCAGTTCACTTCAGTATGAATCACTTCAATATGATTCAGTTCAGTGTGAATCAGTTCAGTGTGAATCAGTTCAGTGTGATTCAGTTCAGTGACTCAGTTCAGTGAACTGGGACTCACCGCGGTTGTCGCTCTGGTTGCTGCTCTTGGAGGAGCTGTTGAAGCCAGAGATGGTGGTGCGCAGCATCCTGGCCATCATGGTGTCTCCGCCCACGCTGATGTCGATGTGATGACTGCCTGCAGGAAGGGGCGGAGCCATCTGACTGTCAGTCTGGTTGATGTTGGACCACTGTGCCCAGCAGAACTATCACCAGTTTAAACCGGTTTGAACTGGTTTGAATTGGTTAATATAATTTTTCTCCCAGCTGTTGATTTGGAACAAAGTTAAAGTATTGGGAGGTTGTCCTCCTCCTTCATGATTCGATCCACTGCCAGAGATGTGCATTTACTACAGTAACTTTTTAAGGAAATATATTTGGTCACTTACGCTAAATTAACAACAGCGTTATCAAAACTCAACAGCTATAAAACTGAAGCCATGCGAGAAATGTCTGATCCAAAGAATCCTTCCTGAAGCGCTAACCACACAGCTAGTGTCAGAGACAAACGATGGGTATCAAGTTGTTTCCTCCACTAAACATCCTGAAAGCACATCACTTTAGCATTAGCAGAACTAATGTTCATCAAATCAAAGTTTATATAGAGCATTTAGAACAACCTCAACTGACCAAACACAATAATTACAAGATAATAGATGGCTATGTTAAAAATAAGAAATAAAGTTAAGCTTCCAAAAATAAAAAAAATGCAAATAACATGATGATAAAATGTTCATTCAACAAATTAGACAAGGTGGGTAGATGACTGGCTGTTCACTGTGGCACCTTCTGGCCTCACCTAAAGCGTTAGCGTTAGCCAAACTAATTAGCACCGTAGCTTTAGCAGAGCTACATTTTTCACTCGCTGTGTTTTCAAAAGACCAGATCAACCTGACCGGTGTGTGTGTCTCTGTGTGTGTGTGTGTGTGTGTGTCTGTGTGTATATGTGTGTGTGTCTGTGTGTGTGTGTGTCTGTGTGTGTGTGTGTCTGTGTGTGTGTGTGTGTGTGTGTGTGTGTCTGTGTGGGTGTGTGTGTCTGTGTGTGTGTGTGTGTGTGTGTGTGTCTGTGTGTGTGTGTCTCTGTGTGTATATGTGTGTGTGTCTGTGTGTGTGTGTCTGTGTGTGTGTGTGTCTGTGTGTGTGTGTGTCTCTGTGTGTATATGTGTGTGTGTCTGTGTGTGTGTGTCTGTGTGTGTGTGTGTCTGTGTGTGTGTCTGTGTGTCTGGGTGTGTATGTGTGTGTGTCTGTGTGTGTGTGTGTGTCTCTGTGTGTGTGTGTGTCTGTGTGTGTGTGTGTGTGTGTCTCTGTGTGTATATGTGTGTGTGTCTGTGTGTGTGTCTGTGTGTGTGTGTCTGTGTGTGTGTCTCTGTGTGTGTGTGTGTCTGTGTGTGTGTGTGTGTGTGTCTCTGTGTGTATATGTGTGTGTGTCTGTGTGTGTGTCTGTGTGTGTGTGTCTGTGTGTGTGTCTCTGTGTGTGTGTGTGTCTGTGTGTGTGTGTGTGTGTCTCTGTGTGTATATGTGTGTGTGTCTGTGTGTGTGTCTGTGTGTGTGTGTCTGTGTGTGTGTCTCTGTGTGTGTGTGTGTCTGTGTGTGTGTGTCTGTGTGTGTGTGTGTGTGTGTCTCTGTGTGTGTGTGTGTGTCTGTGTGTGTGTGTGTCTCTGTGTGTGTGTCTCTGTGTATGTGTGTGTGTGTGTGTGTGTGTGTGTGTCTCTGTGTGTGTGTGTGTGTCTGTGTGTGTGTGTGTCTCTGTGTATGTGTGTGTGTGTGTGTCTGTGTGTTTCTGTGTGTGTGTGTGTGTGTGTGTGTGTGTGTCTCTGTGTATGTGTGTCTCTCTGTGTGTGTGTGTGTGTGTCTCTGTGTGTGTGTGTGTCTGTGTGTGTGTGTGTCTCTCTGTGTGTGTGTGTGTCTGTGTGTGTGTGTGTCTCTGTGTGTGTGTCTCTGTGTGTGTGTCTCTCTGTGTGTGTGTGTGTCTGTGTGTGTGTCTCTCTGTGTGTGTGTGTGTCTCTGTGTGTGTGTCTCTGTGTGTGTGTGCGTACTTGTGATGTTGAACTGTGTGAAGGTGTGGCTGTTGATGATGTTCAGCACTTGGAACAGGGAGAAGTCGATGCCCAGCAGCAGAATGACCAGCAGTGAGATGGTCAGAACCTGAAAGGCTCCTGTCGCCTGCAGACACACGAACAGAACCAGCTGATGATGAGGATGATGACACCTGGCGGTTTCCATGGTAATGGAGGCAGCAGCTGTTCCAGTCACCACTTGTGTGAACTCCTGAGGGTTGATGTTCGGACTCATCGGGGCGATGAACCGCTTTCTCTCCGACTTTCTGAGAGGAAGCAGGAAATGTTTCCCCTGAGAGGAAAGAGGAAGAGGCAGTGAGCCTTCATCACTCTGATGGTGATGAAGAGGAGGAAGAGAAGGTACCGCTCGTCTCCTGCGCTCATCAATCCGTCTGAAGTAGGAGGTGATGTAGACGTTGTCAAAAGAGATGTTTGTCCTGTAGGAGCGGAGGTACTGCACCGCCCTGAGGAGGAGGAAAACGAGGAGGAGGAGGAAAAGGAGGAGGAGGAGGATGAGCAGGAAGAGGAGGATGAGGAGGAGGAAGAGGAAAAGGAGGGAAAGGCGGAGGAGGAGGAAACGGAGGAGGGGGAGGAGGAGGAGGAGGAGGAGGAGGAAAAGGAGGGGGGAAAGGAGGAGGAGTAGGAGGAGGGTTAGGATGAGGAGGACGAGGACGACGAGGACGAGGAAGAAGAGAAGAGGAAGAGGAGAAGGACAGAAGATCAGGATCAAAAAAAAAAGGAAGGAAAGAAGAAGAGGAGAACCTGAAAGAGGAGGAGAAGTAAAGGGGGAGGAAGAGGAGGAAGCAGCAGCAGTGATGATGAAGCCAATGCTACTGGTCAAACTGGTGATGAAGGTGTGGATCTTACTGGATGAAGACGGTGATGAAGGTGAAGGACAGTACCATCTCCAGGACCTTCATCCCCTGGTCCATCCTCTCCGTCAGGCGCTGGAAGGATTCCTTAACGGCCTCAGTGAAGACCAGGTCCAACTGGACTCCATCCAGAACCGACTGCTGCTGCTCCTCCTGCTGGACGGCAGGGGAAACGCGTCTGGTGGGTCTGGTGGTTCTGGTGGTTCTGGTGGTTCTGGTGGGTCTGGAGGTTCTGGTGGGTCTGGTGGTTCTGGTGGGTCTGGTGGTTCTTGTGGGTCTGGTGGTTCTGGTGGTTCTGGTGGGTCTGGTGGTTCTGGTGGTTCTGGTGGTTCTGGTGGGTCTGGAGGTTCTGGTGGGTCTGGTGGTTCTGGTGAGTCTGGTGGTTCTTGTGGGTCTGGTGGGTCTGGTGGTTCTGGTGGGTCTGGTGGTTCTGGTGGGTCTGGTGAGTCTGGTGGGTCTGGTGGTTCTGGTGGGTCTGGTGGTTCTGGTGGGTCTGGTGGTTCTGGTGAGTCTGGTGGGTCTGGTGGTTCTGGTGGGTCTGGTGGTTCTGGTGGGTCTGGTGGGTCTGGTGGTTCTGGTGGTTCTGGTGGGTCTGGTGGTTCTGGTGGGTCTGGTGGTTCTTGTGGGTCTGGTGGGTCTGGTGGTTCTGGTGGTTCTGGTGGGTCTGGTGGTTCTGGTGGTTCTGGTGGGTCTGGTGGTTCTGGTGGGTCTGGTGGGTCTGGTGGTTCTGGTGGGTCTGGTGGGTCTGGTGGTTCTGGTGGTTCTGGTGGGTCTGGAGGTTCTGGTGGGTCTGGTGGTTCTGGTGAGTCTGGTGGTTCTTGTGGGTCTGGTGGGTCTGGTGGTTCTGGTGGGTCTGGTGGTTCTGGTGGGTCTGGTGGTTCTGGTGGTTCTGGTGGTTCTGGTGGTTCTGGTGGGTCTGGTGGGTCTGGTGGGTCTGGTGGTTCTGGTGGGTCTGGTGGGTCTGGTGGGTCTGGTGGTTCTGTGGGTCTGGTGAGTCTGGTGGGTCTGGTGGTTCTGGTGGTTCTGGTGGGTCTGACCTGGACGACGATCTGGGTGCGGAACTCTCTGGAGAGATGATCCATGGAAAGGTTGAGCCGATCGTACAGCTGACCGAAGTTCCTCTCCACAGGAATCTGCTCCCTGCACCACGGAGTCATGACTGAAGGACGGGAACAGAGCCGTTAGAAACACGGACAGTTACAGGTCAAAGGCTAAAGGTCATCATCCTGAACCAATATGGCTGCTTGGAGGGGTTGAAGCTGATGATGCTACTGCTGCTGGTCACGTTTTCCAATGGTGGACATGCTTCTGCTAATCCCCTAACCAAGTAAGAGCGAAGCTCGTTTTTAGTTTAGCACGTTAGCATTTTCGGTAACTTTTAAAACATTTAGCAACCCTAGCTTCCCCTAAATAATTTTTTTTGGATAAATTCCAAACCACTAATTTTATTGCCTGTTTTGTAGACATTCATTAGCGTTTTAGCATTACATTCAACTTGCATAGCGCTGTACAAACACATTAGCACCAAGCAATGTGTTTGTATAGCGCTTTAGCGATAGCTTCTCCTAAGAACCATGTTTGAACTGCTCTTTAGCATTAGTGTGGGGTAAATATCTTGCTAGCGCTGTAGAACTAGAATTCATAATTAGTGCTTAGGGTTAGCACAGCTAACTTTTTAGCAAGCAGTGCCCACCACTCTGTTTTTTGCTAATGCTAGCCAAACTGGAGGCTATTATGTCTCTTTTCGCATCTATTTCAGGCTAAATGACTCAGTGTGTAAAACGGTCACCAGAAATAAGTTTGAATTTACTTTTTATACAGAAACTCACTTCTCAAGATGTCACACAGGAAGTCGAATTTCATTGAAATACAGAGGATGTGGTTGATGATGGGGACAGGAATGGCTTTCATGCACTTATTCCACTTCTGCTTGAACCAGCCAGCGCAGCGCCGGATGCCTTCGTTCACCATACCTGAGCACAGAAGGGCTTCAAAGACACAGAACCGCTCGAACAGAACCGCTGGTCTGGACCAGGTTACAGGTCCAGAAATGACCACTGGTTTCAAAGCTTCGTATTTAGGAGAATGAGGCGTTCCTCTCCTGGCGCTCATGCCGCCCTGGGCGGTTGCCCATATTGCCAATATCAGAAACCGCCAGTGGAAAGTCCTAACTGAGTCTTTGAACTACGACAGAGTATTAGGTCCAGACTAAGAGATTTCTTTAAAATGACAAGAACAGAGTTATGATATTATGACATAAAAATGGGCATCAGAAAGTCATAAAACATCTAGAAAATGAGAAGCTCGATGGAGTCATGAAGACGTAAGCAGCTCGTCCAGGTCATGGTTCTTTCTTCTTTTCCGTTGTCGATCAATCAATTCAAAGTCCAATAGTAATCTGATGCAGATGTGTGAACAGATTAAGGTTGTCGTGTTTGTAAAACATTTAATGCCATTTCTAGTATCATTTCCATGTTGGATTCATTTGTTCTCATAATATGAGGAACCAGGACGAGTTTCTCCTGGTGTTATTATCATGTTATTCTCATATTTTTCATGTTGTTTTCTTGTTCTGGTCCGACCAGATCTGGTGATAATATATTCCATTATTGTTTATAAAACACTCTTTTTCTGGTTGTTTCCTCTAGGTGGCGCCCTGGTTCCAACATCTTTAAAAATCTGATTCAGACACAACGTGTGGCGTTTGCAGAGACCCAGGTCCAGAACCGGGTCCAGAACCAGTTGCAGGTCGGCCTCACCGTCACAGCGCCTCCTGGTGTTGAAGGCAAACTGCTCCTGAGTGCTGTTTCTCTGGGCGGCGCCACCGGGTTTCTGTTGGATCGGATTATATCCGTATTGCTGCAGAACTTCGTCTCGGATGTTCTGGAACTTCTTGCTGATGTCCAGAGAGTCCGACTCAAACTCCACTTTATCTTTCTGAGAGAAAAACACAGATGGGTCCATTACAGCAGAACCTGGCAGAACCAGGTTCTGCTCTAGCACAGTGACACCTAGGGCCGTTCTGATCAGAAACTTTTTGCCCAAAAGAAAAATAAAGGAGAAGCAGGATGTCCAAAGTGCGGCTCGGGGGCCGCTCGCGGTCCATGGGGTGAATCTGCAGGGCCTGGCTGGAGGTCGAACCACATGGAGACGTTTTGATTTTAACGAGAGCAGAATCATTTCTGATCAAAAAAAATAACCAGATGTTCTACTTCCTTCTGACGTCACAGTAAATAAATCAGATTCTGATTAAACAAACAGATTTTCAATAATGAATTAATACAATAAGCTTTTTAGAGGAAGACCCATAAATCCTGGTCTAATTGCGTAGAATACAATAAATATGTTCTCTTTTTTAAATTTATATGTGTATTTTAATAAAGAAAACAAGTAAATCCCTATAACTTTAAGATGTGGAATAATTTATGCATCACTAACTTTTTAAAAATAGAACAATTTACTGCTTAGTTTATTGTTCAGCTTCGGAAAAAATCTACTACAGCTTTGTGATTATAGTTTTTAAGATTATTGAGGCTGATGTGAGGAAAGGTTTGGACACCCTGCAGTAATCAATACACTTGATCAGAAGCTTTGATGTTGCAGTGACTGTTTGTGTACCTGCCGTCATGACCCCTGACCCCCCCTCACCATCAGTTGCTTGGCAACCATCAGGAAGGGCTTGGTGGCGAGCCGCCACAGCACCCTGCTGTGCTGCACCTGCAGGTCCAGGTTGCAGCTGAGCGACAGCGCCGCCGCCTCGGCGTTCCGCTCCATGTTCGAGATCGGACCTGCCGACGGAGACATGGGACAGCAAGTCGCAGATACGGAGCTCAAACGGGGCCAAAAACATTGTTCAAAAGAAAAAAACACTGAAATCTGAAAAGTAGATTTGAACTTCTTTTAAGTTTCAAATATTTTTTATCAGTTTCCAGCTTCTTTCAGCATCAAAACTTTTTTCTGTTTCAGTTTTTTGTTTTTGAACAAACTTTATGGCCCTGGAATGACGGAGGCTTACTGCAGCACAGTGAAACCTAGTGGCAGCACAGTGACACCTAGTGGCAGCACAGTGACACCTAGTGGCAGCACAGTGACACCTAGTGGCAGCACAGTGACACCTAGTGGCAGCACAGTGACACCTAGTGGCAGCACAGTGACTCCTAGTGGCATCACAGTGACACCTAGTGGCAGCACAGTGACACCTAGTGGCAGCACAGTGACACCTAGTGGCAGCACAGTGACACCTAGTGGCAGCACAGTGACACCTAGTGGCAGCACAGTGACTCCGAGTGGCATCACAGTGACACCTAGTGGCAGCACAGTGACACCTAGTGGCAGCACAGTGACTCCTAGTGGCAGCACAGTGACACCTAGTGGCATCACAGTGACACCTAGTGGCAGCACAGTGACACCTAGTGCTGCAGAAAATGTTTGCACAACTCCTGAGATTCGCTCATGTCTGGAGGCAAAAATATGGAGCTAGATTTGTTTCACAGTTATTGAATAAAAACAACTAATCTCAATTTAAATATATATATATTGTGGTCAAATTTTTTTGGAATTGTTATCCTTTTTTAAACAAAAAAAGTTTTCAATTAAAATCACTTGTTTTTGTCTCATGAAGTGAAAAAGTATGTGCAAAACATAAACATTCATTTGGCTTCGCTTGCGATTCTCACATGAACATCCTGAAGATATGTGAGATTTCTTCTTTGAAAACAGTTTAAATGTTCAAATGTCCACAGACTGGTCAGTGTTACTTACTGTTCTCAAAATGACGGGAACTGAAAGTCCGGCCAGGATGTTCATGTGAACAAAACTCACATGAACCAAACATGTGGAGCATCAAACAAAACTTTGGGAACCGCAGCCAAAAACTGAGGCTGTCAACCAAAAAATTAAAATGAAAGTTTATGTTTTGCAAATAACTTTTTCACTTTATGAAACAAAAGAGTGATTTTCTTTTTAAAAAATCATTACAATCCCAAATGTAATGATTTGTTTTGAACACAATTTTATTTTTTTAAACTGAGATGAGTTTTTCTTTATTGAATAATTGTGAAACAAATTTTTCTCCAGATAAAATAATTTCCAGGATTGTAGGGAAAAGATGCAGGAATAATTTACAGACCAGCAAAATGATCAGAAATTACAGCAGGAGAGTCTGGAGAGTGTATGTGTATGTGTGTGTGTGTGTGTGTGTGTGTGTGTGTGTGTGTGTGTGTGTGTGTGTGTGTGTGTGTGTGTGTGTGTGTGTGTGTGTGTGTGTGTGTGTGTGTGTGTATGTGTACCTTTGTACAGAATCATCACAATCATAACCATCAGGTAGGAGCGACCTCGAGAGCCGAGGATGCTGGGTAATGTGAGGAGGATGGTGCACCTGAAGGACGAGGACAGGATCCCACCTATGATACACACACCTGAAACACACCACACACACACACACACACACGCTTGTGTTCACCTGATCAGGATGTGGTTTAAAGGAGGAATGTGAGTCTGACGTCTCCTCACCGACAAATGCAATCCCCACTGCCAGCTTCAGGTCAAAGGTCAGCGGTAAGTTGTGGGAAAATCCCAGGTACAAAACTAAAACATAGAAACAACAAAATAGATTTTATTACGTTTTAAAAATCCATCTTTATGAAATTCGGAGCAAAGTGTCTTCATTTTCCTCTTTAGATTTTTTTGCTGAATATTTTAAAAGTCATTTTTATTTTTTCATTTTTTTACTTGTATGAATATTTGCAATATTTTCTTTTTATGTCTCTATTACAAAATGTGAAACTGTGGTAAAAAAGAGTCGGGCAAACACACATTTCTGCTGCAGTTCATCCATTTTGTTTGCCAAACATCTCAGAAGGACCATCATGATCAGCAGAAGAGACGATTTGAACTTTGTTGTTCACCGGGAATCTGGGATTTACAAGCTGACAGTGAAAAAAGAGAACGAGAAACCCACTTGAAAAATGTTCATTTGTTACATGTCATCCAATTAAGTTTATTCAGTTGTCATGTAAAGTATGACATGTAGCAAATTCACACAATTGTTTTTAAATTGGAGCTCCATTCTCTTGTTTCAGTGAAGTTCTGAAAACTCAAATTATTTGAGTTTTTAATTCATTAATCATCTATGGAAGCAGAAACCTGCCATCCAGACAAAAGGGAAGTTGAGTGATGTCACTTTTGGTTGTGGAAATATTTTTGTTGGAAATATATTCTTCATGTTTGTGCAACATATTTTGATGTTCTTGAATATATATATATCTATATGTATATCTATCTATCTATCTATATCTATATCTATCTATATATATATAGATATATATAGATAGATATAGATATAGATAGATAGATAGATAGATAGATAGATAGATAGATAGATAGATAGATAGATAGATAGATAGATAGATAGATAGATAGATAGATAGATAGATAGATAGATAGATAGATAGATATAGATAGATAGATAGAGATATATATATATATTCAAGAGCTGACTGGATAGCTCAATACATAAGGCATCAGTATATCACCCGAGAGGGCAGGGTTCGAATCCAGTCTGGGTCCTTAGGCAAGACCCTTCAAGCTACTGCCTACCTCATACCATGAGAGATACTAAGTTGCATAACATGCCGGCTCAGACGTCGCCCGGCCAAACAAGGTCTGCGTCAGGTGTTGGGGAACCAGAGCACCTTGATGACAAATGGGCTACTGGAACAAGACGGAAATGGGCGAGAGATGAAAATGTGGATCTGTTGGAATGCTACTACTCAAGTAACCCTAGTGAGAGAGGTTACATGCAAAGACTGGGGAAGGAATGGTTACTTCGACATCCCCAGTCAACACTAAGCGCTAAACAACTAGTAGCTCAGTGTTCTAACATCCACAAACGGCAACTGCTATCACAACTTGAGATTGACGAGATACAACACAAATGCTACGGCAAAAGGGAGGAACCCGGATGTCAGAACTGTGGGGACTTAACTACAAGGGGACTTAACTGCTGACCAGTAATCAGACAATCATGACCTGAATCATGACCCATAACAGAAACTCAGCATCAATGATCCTTGAGATACTTGGCTATAAGAGCAACCATGAGACCCAATACCCACCATGGAAAAGACGGTTAGAGGCTAAAATCAAGGTAACAAGGAGGGAAGTGAGCCAACTGTCAGAGCTCCACAAGGGTACAATGAAAAGACCATTACCCAACCAGCTAAGGTGTACTCTCAATGGCAGGGTAATAACAACAGAGCATACCCACCAAGGCTGGAGACTGAACAATACTGGAAAGGGAGGCGTCCCACAACAGCAATGCACAGTGGCTGATCTCTCTACGAGAGAACCACAGCAACCTCCCGGTAACCATCACTGTTACCGCGAGTCGTATGAAAAACTGGACAGCACCAGGGCCTGACATGATCCATGCCTACTGGCTAAAGAAACTCACTGCTCTCCATTAGCGACGGCAGCCCAAATGAACCAGCTGCTACAAAGTGGGACTCACCTGAATGGTTAACTGAAGGGCGGACAATCCTAATCCAGAAGGATCCATCAAAGGGTCCAGTCCCACCCAACTACCGACCAATAACGCCTCTCCACAACCTGGAAGCTCATGTCAGGCATCATAGCGGCCAAGATAAGCAAACACATGGATAAACACATGAGCACGGCACAGAAGGGTATCGGTGTAAATACCAGAGGAGCCAAACACCAACTCCTCGTAGACCGCCACAGTTGCCCGAGACTGCAAAACCCGACACACCAACCTGTGCATGGCTTGGATCGATTACAAGAAAGCCTATGACTCAATGCCGCATACTTGG